ACTCATCCGTTGATTCATTGATTCCTTGATTAATTGATTCATTGATTGATTGATTCATTGATTCATTCATTCACTCATGCACTCATTCACTCATTGACTCATTCACTCATTCACCCATTCATTCATTCATTCATTCATTCACTCATTCACTCATCCATTGATTCATTGATTCATTGATTACTTGATTCATTGATTGATTGATTCATTCATTCATTCATTCATTCGTTCGTTCGTTCGTTCGTTCATTCATTCATTCATTCATTCATTTCTTTATTCATCCATCCATTCATCTATTCATTCATTCATTTATTCATTCATTCATCCATTCCATTGCATTCCATTTCGTTCCATTTCTTTTTCCTTTGTAGTCCTTTTTTTTTTTTTTAATGTTCGTTGCATTCTATTTCAATCCATTTCATTTCATATGTAATTTCACGTCGTTTCATGTCGTTTCATGTCGTTTCATGCCATTTCATGCCATTTTCATTTCATTTCATGCCATGTCATTTCATGCAATGCTATCCAATTTCATGCCATTTCATGTCGTTTCATGCCATTGATATATTATTAATTCATGTCGTTTCATGCCAGGTTATCTCGTTTCATGTCATTTGATTGGTTTCGTTCAATTGCTTCTTATTTCCTTCATTGTTTGCTTTCTTTCTTTTTTCTTTCTTTTTTTCCTTTCTTCCTTCCTCCCTTTTTTTCGGCTTCTTTCTTTGTTTGTCCGTTAGTCTGTTGGTCTCTTAGTTTGCAAGCTAGTTTGTTTGCTAGGTTTTTGCTTTGTTTTGTTTAATTTTGCGTTTGTATTGGTTGGCTCTGTTTTGTTTTGTTTGTTTGCCTATTTGTTTGGCTTGCTCGCTTTGGCCGGCTGGCTGGGCGGCTGGTTGGCTTGCTGGGTTTCTCCTTCAAGTACTTTTTGTGTTGGATGCCTGAGGCATGTTACAGCCAAGGTGGTTACTGTGAAAATCTTCCACAAGCAGCTCTGAGCTAAGAGGGTTTCGGCGGTGGGAGGCAGGGGCCGGCAAACATGGCATCAAAGAAGGCCTGTTGTGCCAAGGCAGTTTCGCCTCGTCTCTGCTTGCCGCGCCCGCCCCTTTGCCTTCCTTACACACCCCCCGGCAGCGCCGGCGGTGTGCATCGTTTATATTTTCGGAGCAATCGATTGAAGTCTGGCAAGAGAAAATGCGGCTGCTTCAAACACCGCCCGGCTTTCCCACACCCAGGCGGGACTTGGTTCACGCGTTTAGCGCCGTTGGCTTTTTGGCTCTATGCAGCTTTCCTCTTGCCCCAGCTGACCCATGCCGACTGCTCGTCGCACTTTGGGGGCACTGGCGGCTGTCACGGCGCCCTTCGCGTGGACCGCCCTGGCGCCTTTCGGCGCGAGCTCGGCACGACGAGTTCGGTGCCGCGAGGCCAGGGCAAGAGGTGCACGTCGGGCGCTGCCGGAGGACTGTGCATCTGTTTTCGACCTGTCTGCGCTTTGTTTTTTTTCTTCAACGCTTGGGGTGTGGGGCCGGTTGCCTTTCTCCCTGCACAGCCGCCCGAGGACCTGGCCGCGCTGTTCCGAAGCCGCGCCGCGGCCGTCGAGGCATTGGAGGCGGCCGAGTGGCGGGAGGCGAGCGGCGTTCGGAAGCCCTCGGCGCGGCTTTGGCCCAGCGTGACTCCAGCAGCCTGGCAGGACCTGGCAGAGTTTGCTGGGCTCGTTCGTTTCGAGAAGTTTGCATCACATGAACGTAGATTTTGACCGGCTCAAGCATGCGCAGGAAAATCAGACACATGCGATATCGGGCTTGTCAACTGGGTTTCCGTTGCAACCACTGACACTCTGCCAATCCGCCCAGAGGTTGGGGGCTCAAAGCTTGCGGTCTTCGGTGGTCTGAACGCCACCAACCGTCGCATGCTTGACGAGCTTTGGCTGCTGGAGGAGTGGCCTTTTGGACTAGCAACGTGCCGCAGACTTGCTTGTCTTTTCACGAAGCCTGGACAGAATCAACTATTTAGGCCCCCTTCCCTACCGGGCAAATCGTCGAAGCCCTCCTGGACCAGTCTTTTTCCAAGCCATCTCACGCAACAGCGGCTATTTTGTTTACCCCTCCTCACTTGCCACGCCTTTTCCTCGGACAATGGAATCTTGGAGCTGGAAACGTCCCCGTGCTAAAAATCTCAGCCACCGGTAGATGGGGGCAGTCATCCATTTGTCGAGGAGAAGCGCGACGGCTGGGCCTGGACCCCAGTGCAGCCTGTGGGCCGGGTGCCGCCAGGGCGCGCGCACCACGACGCGGCCCAGGTGGGCCGATGGTTGGTGATCCACGGCGGTTTGTGCCTTCGCGGATTTTCAATTTTTGTTTCGTGCGAGTTGTCCTCGCAAAGGGTTGCTCCCCGACAAGGAGGCGCTAGGATTGTTGGCCTGCTCAACTCGGGAAGTGGTTCGCCCTCATATTGCCCCGCACCGAAGCATCATGTCACGGATGCGTGATTTCTTTGTTTCACATGTCCCTTCACCCCCACTCTCAGGAGTGGAAATTGGATCCAACGGGCCACTCTCGGCCTTCGCATTGAGAGCTGAGGCTAGAAAACGGCTGCCGCAGTGACGACACCTGGCGCGTGGACTTGGCGGCGGAGCCGCCGCAGTGGCAGGCTTTGGGGACGTCGGCCCTGACGCCGGATCGGCCCATCCCCAGGCGGGGTGGCCATCTTTGTGCCATATTATAATTACTATTCTTATCATAATATTAATAATTATTATTATTAAGTTCATTTTCAAGAGATATTTTGGACAGGCATTGCCAGTTGTGAAGTTTCAAGGGTCATCGAGGGAAGTAGATGCTTCGTCCGGATCTCACCGTTTGGTGATGGCCAGCGCCTCGTCTGCCCAGATCGGCCACATGTGGATTGGCATCGTCCCGCGAGCCAAATCAATGCATCTCCATCACATGCGCGAGCGGGCTGTTTCGGGCTGTCCATTAGCCTCCGTTTCCAGGTACCACCACTCCTTCCTCAGCGGATCCGCGGGTGTCGTGGCGCTCTTCGGGGGCCACGACTTTGCGCGGCGGGCGCTGGATGATTTGTGGCTGCTGGAGGCGAGGCCGCGCCCTCCGCTGATCCTTTGCTGGCGGTTGTAGATGTTTTTTGGGGATGTCACACCAGCCCATGTTCATTGTCCCGGCACTTTCCAGAGGTGGGGCTGGGGGGGGGGAACGCGTCAGCTAAGGCCCACCGTCGACCACGTCAAAGCGTGTTGGAGCACCTTGATGACGGTTACGCGCATTAGGGCTGACAATTGTTTCCCCTATTGACTTGAAGCGGCGATGTTGGACTTTTTCCCCCTGCTGCGCTGCTTGCTTGGACAACTTCACTGCTGGATTTACAAAGAAGTCCCAGAACAAGACATTTGTTGAGGATGATTATGTCTCACCTTGTTAGTATGATGCTCAGTCGTGCAATTTCAGCACTTCGCCTAAGCCCTGCAGGCGGGCGCGGAGGCCAATCCTGACCTGATTGGCTGGCAAGAGGTGGAGGTCTACCCCAGGCTAGCGGGCATGTTGGCGCAAGGGTTCTGGCCTTGACCTGCCTTGTGGACATGAATCTGCCTCAAGGGCCGCCAAGATCTGAGCCGCAGCGCATATCTATGGCTGTTTCGACGACAACTGCACAGAAAGATGTCACAACGAGACAACAGGTTCCTTGATAAGGCCATGTGTCCAGGAGAATCTATTTTGTTCGATTCCCCACTCAGATCATTTCAAGTTACGACTGAGCCAAGCTGGGGACTTGGGTGCTTGGCTCAGGCCTGCCCCGCGGGCGTACCATGCGGCGGCCTGGGTAGATGAGGGGATGTTTCTTTGTGGGGGCGAGCTTCAGGACGCGCTGGATTCTGATGCGGCATGTTGTCCAAATGCCACAGCATGTAAGTTGCGCGCCGAGCTAGTGTCTCGGTGCCATTGTTTGAGACAATGCTGATGGAACCTCAAATGTATGGCCGTACCGTAGCTTTCCCATCTCCATTCCTTTTCCCTTCGACGGCTTTGCTGAGCACTCGCTTGACTTGGATTCTGGGGGGCATGCGCTGAGCATTGGCAGGGGCGGCTCTGGCCTGGTGCCATCCGAAGCACAGTGTTTGGAGGGAGACAGACTCCGCAGGATGGCAGCTGCTGCTGCGAGATGTGGCTCTTCGACCTGGTGCCGCTGCGGGAAAACGGGCGGAGCAGGGTGTTGCAGCCAGCTTACATGCTTAAAGATGTTGCAGCATTTGCCGCTTCTTTGTCCGTCTAGACTTTGGCTGGATGCCAGCTGCATCTGGACTGGGCTATCTACACGTCCAGAAGCTGGCTTTTTACCATAACTTTTGTCAAGCGTACCTGGGCTTTCTGAAGGAAGGACATACTTCAGGAGCAGTCTCTTGCTAGTGCCAATGCCGTGAGCAAATGCGATGCTAGAGCCACGCAGCTGTCCGTACGATTGGCCAGATGAGGTTCGCTAGTTTGCTCATTGAACCACTTTCCTTTCAGCCGCCATGAGAGACAGGGGGGGTCTGGCGGGCGAGTCTGGCGCGCCGAGGAGCGCCTTGGCTGGCGCCGCAGCACCCGAGACCTCGCGGAGGGCCGCCAGCGTCACGCTCTGTGCGCCGCGGGCGGCGGGGTGGTGGCGCTTGCCGGGGGCCGTGGGAACAAGGCGAGACAGGGCAACGCGAAGCTTTCCGCTTTTTGACCGAGGGCTCCAAGGGCACATGCCGGCCTAGGTCCTTTATTGTCTGGGCTTGCTTGAAGTGTTGCAAGCAACATTTGACGGCAGCCTAATGACAGGCGCCTCTCTGGCTAAACATGAAGGTGTCATGCGTTGGAGTCTGCAGTTTGTTGCTTTGGGACACCAACACACAGGCCGTGCAAGGATGTCATGGCACCCGAGTTTTGGCCCAGCACTTGGAAGTGGGCGCATGAGGCGGGGGATGCGCGACCCGTGGACGTCGCGCTCCTGCAGCTGAAAGTGGAGGAAGGAAAAGCCGCTCCGCATTGGAATAGGTCAATGTGGCCCCTTGTCCAAGGTGACCCCCGTTTCTTTCTGAAAGCCCACCCGACACTTGTCCACCGTCTAAGCCTTAAGCAGCAGCCGTGCGACTGATTTCACCTGCGCACTGTTGCTGGAGCCTTGCTTGTACGGGCTGCTGATGTTGCAGCTTCTCAAGCCAGGGCTCCGGAGGGATGCATGACGTGCTCCGGAAGGATGCATGACGTGGAGTGGTAAGCCTTTTAAGCAGGCCAAAAGGAATTGCTTGGAAGCCTGTGACGGGTCTGTGTTTTCAGGGACTCAAAGCATTCGGCGATTTTGTCCGAGGTCAGCTGCGTGGAACTCCAGGCGCCGGACGCCTCAACAGAGGCAGCTTGGCTTAAGGAAGGACTTGGCAGGACTTGCTCGAATTTCGCCCAAACAGTTCACTCAGTTGACCACGAGATGTTGGTAGCCAGAGTTTTTTTGGGCCGCTTGTAGCTGCCCCTTCCACTTGCCATCGTTACTGAGCGCAGCAAATCCCCACTGTCGGCTACCATGCATGTCAAGCAATCAGTGAGGCAATTGGAAAACTCCTTAATCCTTGATGGGCAGTTTGCTTCCTGACCTTCAAGCATTGGCTACAGGTCCGACAGGAGGCAGAGCTGCTAAGGCAGGGGCTGAGGTTGCTGCAAGCCGCAAGCAGTGGTCAACAAATCAGAGAGCTGTCATGCATGATGTCACTTGGTCAAGTGGCTGGTTGCTCGGTTGCGGTTTAGGTCTGCTGCTTGGCTGCCTGGTTGTTTTGTTGTTTGGCAGCTTGCTTGCTTGCTTGCTTGCTTGCTTGCTTGCTTGCTTGCTTGCTTGCTTGCTTGCTTGCTTGCTTGCTTGCTTGCTTGCTTGCTTGCTTGCTTGCTTGCTTGCTTGCTTGCTTGCTTGCTTGCTTGCTTGCTTGCTTGCTTGAACTTTGTGTGTTTGTTTTGTTATTTCGGATTTGCCAAACTATCATGGTCACAAAGCCCAGCTACCATGAAGAGTGATGACAAATCTAATGGCCCTATTGGCAGCATTGGATAAGGTCTTGCAAACGGCAAAGGCCACGATATCCACTGGACAATGCCATCAATCACCCCCCCTCATCTGCGGACGCGAGCTCTTTGGGAGCCACTTGTTCTCCCACAATCCCTCCTATGAGGACTAGATTCAAATATGTGTATAACTGTATATATATATATATATATTATTGAATACAGCTTAGTTTGATTTGTTTAGGCTGCTCATTTCTCACGGGTTGCCTACTGACCCAGTGCTGGTAGCCAACAGAAGCATAGCTACACATGTTGTTCATCCATATTTGTTCGCTGAATGCTGGCCAGCAACTCACAACGGCAAAGCTGGTCTCAGGGCTGTCTGTGCCAGCCATTCTGACTTGGATGGCAGGTGGCCAAGTGGCTAGTAACCCTCACTGGATCCACATTGAACCTTGGTATATAGCCATGTAAACCATGGTTAGAAGATTCGTTACTACATTTGTAAGCCTTTTAAGTTGTAGCATTGTTTACTCTCCATTTGACTCCAGATGGCCGGCTGTCTTTGGGGCAGGCTGGACTCTGGGCATGTGGTGCTCTTTGGGGGCAACGAGGGTCAGCTCGTGGACCAGTTTGGCGACGCACGGCGCGCTTTACTTGTGTTGCCGGAGAGTCTGTGGACAAGCGCTTCCTGAAGCCAGGAACTTTGCCCTCCCCTCCTTTCAGATGATGTTTCTTTCCTAAAGTCTCAGATATGCAATGCGGGTCCCCCTGCGCACCCTTCTTAGTTTGCTTCGAAGAACCCATTGTCAATTCCAGTTTGAATATGTTTCAAGCAATTGTCCAGTTTGGAGGTGCTCTCAACAAACCTTCGTGCCGATTGTAGATGATTCTATTGCAATGGCAGCCCTGTTGATATTGAATAGGACAAATATACCTGATAGACTTTATTACTGTTGCGCCTTCAGCAAAACTCGCATAAGGGACATGACCTCTACTCACGCAAGGGTGACCCTGCAAGCAATGAATAATACACCTTTTGAGATTCCTGGTTCCAAGTATGTCAATGTGGACTTGGTTAGCACCCTTCTTAGGGTGCTCGGCCCCCATGCTGCTGCTTCCCATGTTTGGGTTTGACATGGTTTGACCAAGCCAAGATCAAAAGCTTCCAGGGACTTGCAAAGCTGAGGACGGGTACCACCAGCTGGGCCTCGGCGGCACGCTGCTCGCGGAGCTGCCGCCGGGGGGCGCCAGCTGCGCGTGGCGGCGCCCGGGGGGGCCGCTGGGCCTGGCGCTGGGCGCGGCGGTGGCGCGCCTCAGCTGCGGGGTGCTTCCGGGTGCTTCGGGGTGGCTGTGGTGGCGGTGGTAGCTGTGGTGTGAAAACGTGGGGCCGGGCAAGGCAAGTTTTGGTCTGTTGGCTTCCGCTTGTCGCCCTCTTCCGCCAAGAACCGTCAGGTCTCATCTCCTCCAAGTCACCGATCGATTTTCGTGGAAAATTGTGTGCCAAGGAAGCTGCTTGGGCAGGCCCGGCGTGTCTGTTGCTGGGAAGACAGAGGTGCGGAGAAGGCGGATTTCATTTTCAGATCTGTTTGCATTGAGCAGTCTCTAGCATCGTGTAGGTGCATCAAAACACTTGCCATTTGTTTGGGGAATTGAGCGCCTGGAGGAAACCGCCCCTCAGTGAGGAAGGGATATGCGACAAAGCTTCCTCCTTCCCAATTTTAGTTTGCGATTTGCAGCAAAGCTTGCTTGTTCTCAGTTTGGGGCATGCGACGAGGCTTGCGTGTCTCAGTTTGGTATATGCGACAAGGCTTGCTTTTCTCAGTTTGCGTTATGCGGCGGCTTGCTGCTTGCTTGTATTCAGTCTGGGATATGCAACAACACTTACTCCTTCTCAGGATGGGTCATGCGACAAGACTTGCTTGTTCTCAGCATGGATTATGGGACAAAGCTTTCTTTTTCTCAGTTAGGCTGATGCGACAAAGCTTGCTTGTTCTCAGTTTGGGATATGCAAAGCTTGTTCTCAGTTTGGGATATTCAGCAAAGTTCTCAGTCTGGGATATGAAAAGCTTGTTCTCAGTTTAGGATATGCAGCAAAGCTTGCTTGTTCTCAGTCTGGGATATGCTGCAAAGCTTGCTTGTTCTCAGCCGGGGTCATGAGACAATGCTTGTTTGTTCTGAGTTTGGGTTCCAGCAAAAGACCAACAGATTTGCTGATTACATTTTGATTGGCGGCAATCACTTATTCTGAGGGAATGAGAGTGCGCCAATACTGTATCGCACACACCACACGCTTCGCGTAGGACATTTTCTGGCTTAAGTGGCCCAGAATCAGCTTCCAAGTGACCCGCAGACTCAAATCATTTGGGCGGTGGAATTTTCGGACATGGAGCAGCCGCTGCTTTTGAGGTCTAAGTTGTCCATCGTCTATGGCGTCAACGAGTACGAGCAGCAGCTGAGGGCGAAGATGTCGCAGAACTCTGAGCTCTCGCAGCTGCAATCCTTGGCGCCAGACCAGCAGGGATCAAAGGCTGACGGGAAGAGCGAGAAGGGTCAGCGGGCCTTCCCAACGCCCAACAAGCCAGATCCCATGCCGCACGAGTTGGAGTTCCTCTTCACCAGGATTTCAGTCGAGCAAATGCTGTACATGTGGAATGTGTACTCAGCGCTGTTTGTGGCACAGTGCTCCTGCGTGCTGGCGTATTGCTTCATGCTCTCACAGGGCCTGGATTGGTACCTGGCCACGGCACTGTTCGGTGTGCCCATGGCATCCCTCATGATCCAGAATGTCTACATCTTGCACGATGTGCTGCACGGAGCCACCTTCCCGCCCTACGAGTGGCAGAAGTACATCACACACTGCTGGGCCGATCAGTTCAGCCTGCCCTGGGAGGAGATTGTGCTTGAGCATCAGCGGCACCACGCCAGCACTGTGGACCTGCTGGTGCATGGGGAATTCGGTTGGGACCCAGCCAGCTGGCTCTATTACTTGCAGGAATGGACGGACCAGTGGTACGGCTGGCTGACGGTGCCGCTAGTGCCTCTCTGGCACTTCATGGGCGCCAACGACACGGGCGCCCTCTTCGCCCTGATGTGGTACTGCAACTTCCCGGACGCCTCCGGCGGCAAGTGCAACAAAGACTTCTGGACCAAGTGGATGCCGAAGCGCCTGGGCCACAGCCTTTTCGTGGGCTCGCTGTGGGCCTGTGTTTGGCTTTTGGGCACCTGGCCGCTGAGCCGGCCGCTCTCCGAGGGCTGGCGCTTCTTGTTGCCGGTGACACTGGTGTGCCGCTTCGGCTTCACCGTGGCTTGGACCTTCTTCACCAACTTCAACCACTCCCACTGGTGGAACGAATTCCTGGCGCTGAACCCCAACCGCAGCTACCCCATGCTGTCGTCGGTGATGGCCTTCGTCTTGGGGGGCAGGCACCGCTTCAACGAGATGCTCTTCCATGATCTTCACCATGCCTTCCCCAACGCTGTGGGCGCCCTGAGCCAGCGGGGCCGCTTTCACGGGTGGGAGAAGGTCCACGATGCGGCTGTGGAGGTCTTGAGCCATGGGCTTTTCCTGCCCCAGCCGGAGGACCACCAGGAACCACCTATGCAGAAGCTCCAGCACAAGCGCTCCATGCACCTGAAACCATCCACCTAAGCCGGAGCCACGTAGCCATTTTGCCCCCCATTTCCCGACACGTCGCAAGTGTGGCACCTAAGCCCTGAAAACAGTTCCGCCTTTGCAGCCATTTTCCTCCAGAGGAGTCGAGGAGGCTGCCGCGATTTTCGTCGCTTGCTTGCTCGGGCCCTGTACAGCTCTTTCGCCTTGTGGCCGAAAGATTTCCAACGTGTCAGGTTAAGATCTCCAAACCCTGGAGAGCGAAAAATGCGGTGCCAACCTTGATTCGTGTCCATTTCTGGATGTGAGGCAAAGATGGATCAATTTCCGAATCAGAATTCTGCTTCAGATTTCGGCGATGCATCAGACAGCTGTCAGGTTGTGGTTCTGGACTGGGACCGGCGAACCGCAGAGGTGGGAGCAACTGGTGAAGTGGGGCAGTCGTGTGGAAGCATGAAGGGCCCGCCTGGAAGGCTTCTACTCTGAGGGACTAGTTTATCTCCGTAGAGCAGGAGAGCAACGAGGCCACCAACAAATGCATCGGACAGCGTTGGTCTTTCAGATCTCTGGGGAAGTTGTTCAAAGTATGCGCGCTTGTTGGTCTGCGCAGGGGGAGGATGCGGATGAGTAAAGAAGTGGTGTGACAAACACAAGCTCGGGTGTTGCGAAGGCATGATAGGCATCGTCCAAAGGCCACAGTTGCAAGGGGGCAACTCTTTCACCAACATGGGACGGTCAAGGATCATGGCTTTCTTTGGCTGGCCCGTGTGAAGATTTAACCCTGAATCTGTGGGTGAGTTGCCCAGTCAAATGCGGTGCCAACAGGACACATGTCCCACGGTCAAGACACTTTTTGCACCATATCCTCGTTTGTGCATGTTTACCAACTTGCCAACAAGTTACAGGTTTAAACAACATTGGCACTTGCAAGCTGGGGATGCATCGGAGCCGCTATTGTTAAATTCTTCAATCACTGTCTTACTCCTCTTTCTCCTCAGATCGGGCAAGGCGATTCCAACCTTGCGATGGCCAGGTCAGGGTGAACGTGCTGAAGCTCACCAGAGAGACGGCCAGTGATGCGCAAAGAAAGGGGGAGCGCTGTGCAGTGAGGTGGTGGTGCCAATGCGGTTGCCACGAGTTCGGACCCTAATGAGGTTTTTCACCAGGTGTTCTTTTCCTTTCATTCATACAGTGGCCAACCAGTCAAATCAAGCACGCTTTCGGTAGTTTGTGAAGCTGCATGAATCATGCTGAGATCACCTGCGGGTTTCTTTCATGGCTTGTCCTATTTGAGAAGCAGGACGCCCCGACGCCGCACTGCACGGAATGACTCAAGACGCAGTCCTTGTGCTATCTTGTTCTAGCCACGCAGCTGGCTCACCAACAGTTCCCAGCGCAAAAGGTTGGACCAACAGACTTTAGGTTGGCCAACAAATCAGCCAGCAGCCACACAGCGACAAACTGCGTGCGTCAGCTCCAATTACGAGTAAGCATACTGTTCAAGCTGAGCTGGGCCAGCGAATTCAGCCATGTGCAGCCAGCTACCATCCTGTGCCGATTGTCGATAGTCATGCAGAAGCACTTTTTGCCTATCCTGTACAAAGCATCCAAGATCACTGGGAGCATTTGGCACCGGAGAGGGCACATGGGGTGCGCCATTCGACGCTTGCCACAGTGCGCTGTTTGCAATGGCGGCCAGCGTGACGGGTGACAGGCGCGGCCATGGCCTGACACAGTGCCGCGGTCTGGGTGAACTTGGCTCGTTGTAGGGCCGAGCCTGGCTTCAAATTCCGGTGGATGCGTTTGAGAGGAGATCTCTTTGATTGGCCAGCACATTCCGCCCAGTTGGCTGGACCTAAGGGGTGAAGCCTGCAAATCCCAATGTGAACACGTTTCGCTTCAGAACTTCATGACTTGCGCAGCAATGTCTTTCCCAACTGCGCCCTCTTGTTGTCAAACAGCATTGACTACTCGAAGAACTCCGACTCCACATTGACATTGACATGCAAGTGGACAGGAAACAGCACAAGTGGTCATCCCCCTTTTCCCGATCCCAACTGAGCTTCTGTTGTTGGAAGCCACAGCAGGCCATGAATCCATGCTCAATCTCTACATGGGAGGCCTAGCGCCAGCCATCAAACATGCTCAAGGTAAGATACTCAGGCCCGCGTGTTGCAGAGTTCGAGCTTCATGCTGAACATCAAGCTTTCTTGTCATTCTGCATGTTTGCTGCTTTCTCCACACTTGTTTCGCCTCCTTTGTACCCTCGTTTGGGAGACATGCCGACGGAGCAAAGTGGTGAGCGCACGGAATCTTTGAGGCAGGCCACCCGGAGCCTCAGCGCATTGGCGCAGAAGGCGCAGTGGCAGAAGGCACTGCGACTCTTCGAGTCCCTGCCGCGATGGAACGTGCCCTGACGGAACGTTTCCGGTAGGATTTCTTCTTTCCAATTTTGGGCAGGGCTTGTCGTCTCCTTTGGAGTTGACCTCAGAGCCGATTCCTGGACCAAGCCCAAAATGAGTTGTGCGTAAACAACGTGCTCTGCTTGCCTCTCTCTCTCTCTCTCGCGCTCTCTCTCTCTCTCTCTCTCTCTCTCTCTCTCTCTCTCTCTCTCTCTCTCTCTCTCTCTCTCTCTCTCTCACGCTCTCGTTTTGGCCGGGAAGTGTAATCACAGAACACGTTATTATGCGCAGGTGCCCTTTTTGGTGATGCATACTGGAATCTATCGATTGATCGATGTACTGCTGCCGCCCAAGGTGATCCACGCGAGCTCGCTGCTGACAGCCCTGGAGCGCGGAGAGAGGTGGCAGCGGGCTCTGCGCCTGCTGGAGGACATCGAGGAGAGGACGGGGGGCCTGGGGGAAGCTTGAGAGCGGTGACACATGGCAGTTGGTCGTGGCATGGGGAGGAAGGAAGAGACGACCTTGCTTGTTGCTTTGGGGGTTTCAGCTTTGGGAATGAAAGCTGGAACACGCATGAACAAGAAAACGGGTGCAGCTCGCCGCAAAGCTTTCCAACTTGTTTTCTTCATCAAGATCCTCCACAAACCGGCGGGGAGGGGTCCTTTTCGGTTCATTTTTTCATGTTGCTTTTCGCAGGGCCAAACCGTTTTGCCGCCGAACCGGAGGCTCCAGCCCGACACCATCTGCTTCAATGCCGCCATCAGCGCCTGCGCAAAGTCCCAGCCCCTTCGACTTCGGATTTGGCGGGGCCCCAACTTTGAGGTTCCTGGCTCGACCTTTGTCGCCTTCGCTGGCTTGCTTGTTGTGCTTGTTGTGCTTGTTGTGCTTGTTGCGTTTGTTGGTTTTTGATACTTCAGCTAGGCGCGCCGAAGGATCAGATCTTCCTTCTTGAAGGGGCCGACACTTGCTTGGGTTTGGGCGTTGGAGCCTGGCCTTGCAAAAAGGGGGGGGTACGGCGTGTTGCTTGAGGAATTGGCGCTCTGCCCTGCAGCTCCTCCAGCACATGGACGACGCGCAGGCGGGCGGCTATTTTGGAAAGGCATGGCGGTGAAAGTTCACCCCACTCCCCTGAAGGCAAGCAACTTCCCGCTGCCCCTCTCAAGTTGCTTTCACTCTTAATGGGGGGACCCGTTTATTCCTTCGGGATGAGACCCGGAAGTCAGGTGGCCCCCAGCCCAACGAGCTTCGGCGCCGCCATCATCGGTGCCACGAGCGGCGGCTGGGCTTTGGGCGTGGCGCTGCTGGCGGCCATGGACCGGCGCCAAGTGCCCAGGACTCGGCCGGGTGCGGGGATGGGGGCGTCGGCTGAGAGGCGCTGAGTTTGCAGCTCTTTGCTATGAAATCGGAGTTTTGCATAGCTCGGATGGTTTGGCCAGGGTTCAGTCCGGGGCATATGAACACCTCTCGGTCACTCTGGCGGCCCCTTTTGCGGGAGGAACACGGTGACCTACAGCGCGGCCATCTCGGGCTGCGAGAAGGCGGCGAACTGGGCCGCCATGTTGGTCCTCCTGGACGAGATGCGCGGGCCCCAGGCGACTGCAAGGGAGTCAGTAGGGCCATCAGCGCGACGTTGGCCAGTGGATTTATTGGGATGTAAGAAATGTGGCACACACACACACACTAGAGAATACACGCGTACACACACGATCAGACATGCAACCCTGGCTTGAAACTCTAAAGCGAGGGGGATGGGGCGATTTGGGCCCTCGACCTCGAGCGAGGCTGGGGGAGGAGCTGCGCCCCAACGTGGTGACCTGCAGCGCCTGCGTTGCCGCCTGCGCCCTTTGGCTGGGTAGAGGGGTTGGGGAGGTGGGAGAGGTGGGGGAGGTGGGGGAGGTGGGGGAGGTGGAGGAGGTGGGGGAGGTGGGGGAGGTGGGGGAGGTGGGGGAGGTGGGGGAGGTGGGGGAGGTGGGGGAGGTGGGGGAGGGGATTGAGTCTCAAGGTGGGGTTGCGTTGTGTTTGTGATCCGAAGCGCTTGAGCGTCCTTTAAAGTGTTTGGAGTCAGCCACAGCCTTGCGACTAAACCTACAGTGACCTGAAACTCAACATGCAAACTCAACCCACATTTGGCTGAAACTTGGCGGAGGCTTCCCAGGTTTTACCACGTTTCTTATCTCCTGTTGCCAATGTTTGAATGCCCGTTGTTTGGTTCTTTGTAGATGACTTCGTTTTGTTTTTGCACACTGCTGCAACATGTAACAGCCTTGGGCCTCGTGTTGGCATTCCTTTGTTTTTTGGGGGTATTCTTGGGTCTGCCCTTCTCCGCCCGTCCAAGCTGATTGCCTGTTGGGGATGCACTCTGGTTGATGAAACGGGTCCAAGGCTATCAACTATGTGAGCTTCACAAGTGCCAGTCGTGCTATGCACTTGTGAAAACACAAAAAAAAACAACTGCAAAACGCTTTGGTTTGTTTGCAGTGACAGGGACTTTTTGGTCAAGAGCTGGTAGACCTCCCCTTTAGGCCTTTTAGGCGTTTTGCCACTGGCAATGAAGATTTGAAGATCAACGTCTCTCAGCCCCTGACCTCTTACTGCCTCCTCCCACGAGCGAGCGAGCCCGGGCAATGAGCGAGGAGAAGGCCCGGGAATGGCAGCGGGCGCTGGAGATGCTGCGGTCCACGGCCGCCCTGGAAGCGCTCTACTCGGAGCCGACAGTTTGGAGATACAACTTTAACATTTTCGCCGCCTTGGTGAACAAGCCCTTGCGACCTTGAAACCCTTGAGTGGTAGCAGGCCCATCGCCTCGTTGGATCGACTCCAACCCATCTCTCCATCTGAAACTTCCCGGATTTTCGAGGTGCGGGCCAACGTGGTGTGCTACAACTCCGCCGTCTCCGCCTGTGAGAAGGGCTCTCAGCTGCCACTGGCCCTGGAGCTGCTGCAGGCGCCGAAGTGTGGGGCTCGAGGCTGACGGAGTCGCGTTGGCCCCGCCCGCCTGTGTCAGGAAATGGATGAGTGCCGCATTCCCAAGGACGGGCCGTGTGAAAAAGGATCCTACGCATGTTTCAAGTCTTTGCCCGGATCAATCTGTCCCTGTCCTTTGAAGAGACGCATCCAGTGGCCTATTCTTTCTTGCCAGATACGACTTCGGGGCAAAATCTCGAAGATCTCTCTCGTTGGAAGCCGGAAGTCAGCATCTAGGCGCCGTGCAGCAAATTGAAGCCTGCTACAAACACGAGTGCTTTTCCTGTGGTACATCCCTCGGTCCCAGTGTTTCCGGCACTGCTTCCAGCACCCGTCGCAGGATACCATCACCTACAGCGCGGCCATTTTCGCTTGTGAGCAAGAGGGTCACTGGCAGCAGTGCTTGAGCCTGCTGCAGGCGAGTGACAGGGGGTGCGTGTTTGACTTGGTTGTGAGCAGTGCTTTTTGGTTCAGGGTGCGAATTCTGTCTAAACCCAGAAACTCCAAATGTTCTCTGAAAGATGCCTTCATTGGCTGCATGATGTGTTTGAGAGTTGTTTGTGGGGTGACCGTGAGGTGAGTGGATCTGGTTTTGCGGTTTTTGGCTTGAGCCAGCTTGATCGGCAATGAGCTTGTCAAAAACATGGTGCTTTCTAAGATTCTAGGACATTCGTTCCATGGCCTCCGAAAGATCGGCACCGGCTCAAACGCCCTTCAGGTTGGAAGCTTTGCAGTCGACAGGACATGGACGAACGCCAAGTTGCCAAGAATGCTGTGACCTACAACGCGGCTGTGAGCACCTGCGGGACCGGCAATCGGGCACAGTCCGGTGAGTTGGGCTTGCCATGTGGCTTAAGGCCTGGTAACAATGCACGTTTGTGCTGCCACAGAGGGCTGTTCTTTTCTTGGTCTTCATTATTAACCTCCTCACACATCCGGGTGAACTTGAAGTCAAACCGGTTGGTGGGAGCCCTGCGCACCGGGGGGCGGGGGGTGGTGGGGTGGAGGTCTAAATGCCTGCCCCCGACTCTCTTTGCTCCTCGCAGCCGCAAACCATGGTTTAGGCTGTGTTCAACTCTTGACCATACTATGGGCATGGAATTCCCAGCAGCTCCTTCAAAATGGATTGTGGTGCCTTTCGGTTTCCTTTTAAGCCATGCAGAAAAAAGTTGTTGGTTGTTTTGCTTGTTTTTCTTCGGAAGCAAGGAACTTGGAGGTAAGAACTGGAGGCTAGAACTGGGGGCTAGAACCAGGAAGCAAGCATTGCCCGCTTCTTGAGGGCAAGGTTTGGCTGTTTGCCAGCGATTTCACCAGATTCTGCAAGACATATCATTGGCACACACACACACACTCATACAGACACAAATTCCATATCACATGATACGAACTTGCAGCAGAAGACGGAAGGTATTTGTCATCTGTGCTTGTCATTTGTACTCAAGTGATGTGCAATCGGAGGCAGTCAAATCACCTGAATAGGCAGCCTGTGAAGCTGCGCTCCCAAAGAACCCGAAGCCACATGGCCAGGGCAGTCCTTTTGGATTTGGCTTCATCACCTTGAGGCCAGCTTGAAGCAGCTCGAAGTGAGTTGCGGGTCGCAGGACAGCCAGCCAGTGGGCAGCCGCCTTGTGGCTGTTCTGGGAGATGCAGATGCACGAGGTCGGATGCGTTTGCAGTGGATGATGCAGAGTCTAGAACCAGAAGCGCTACTGTTCCCTGATACTAATGCCATGGTGAGAAAAAGCAAAAACTATTTGGACTGCTCTTGACCTCCGAGCGCCAAGCACGCGCTACACATTGAGGCTCAGGGAGGTGCCTGGGAGCTTTGTGCAGTCTGTGTCGCATGCACCTGTTGACATGGGGGCGTGATAATTTTGACACATGTAGTTCCCTTATGCGAGACGTTTGCAACATATGGGTTGGATTTGTTGTGCAACACATGTACGTAAGTCAGCACAGGTGAGTTCCAACCAAAGGCAACCAAAGGTTGGTGGCCATCCCAAGCACAAAACCAGGTCGCTACCTCCACATTCAAGTTTGCCAGGTTTACAAAGGTAGTCCTGGGCCACAACTTCTCTGTCCCAAAGAACTGCCAGGTGCGGCCCACATCGGTGTCCTTTACTGCGGCAGTGGCTTCGGCAGGCACTGAGCATGTGGGAAGTGAGGCAAGAGGTGTGGGGAGCAGACCAGAGGGGCTTGAAGCGTCTGGAGCATTTTTGTTTGTTTGTTTGTTTTTTGTTTGTTTGTTCTGTCCGAGAAGATGTGTCATCGAGCTGTGAAAGGGCACACACTGTCACACACACACACACACCACTTCTTTGGTACTTTTTTTTTTTCCTTCACACAGTCTCACGACAAGGAACAGAGGACTTGAACTTGGTTGGCACGGGATGAACGGCCGATTCCCAACCCCAACGTCAGGGGATTTGATGAGTCCTCACTTAGTTCACGCGAGCCTTGCGAAACTTTGACCGTCCATCCGACTTCACGTTGGGCTTCTAAGCATGGACGTCAAAGATCGGCCATCTTTCATTATGGTCAGCAGTGGTGGTCTCGAGTAATGCGATAATCGCCAAGAAGGGGGAGAGCAGTAACAAAAATTGGGGTGAAGAGCCGCTATGTTTGCAGCACATGTACTTGGAGGATGATATCTCGCATCACTTCATAAAGGGCACGTGTTCACTCATGTCAAGGATGTGCATTCGAGTGAGTATCTTCCACAGCAAAAAACAAGACAGCCCCAGCCGTTTTCTTGAATACTTGCCAAATGGGTGTTCACTCATGCAAGGCTTTTAATTTACAGAATGGCACTAGTGGTTGCAGACTGCTTGGCCTACGCGCTCTGGGATTTGACAGGGTGAATCGTGCATGGTAAAGCAGTTGCCCCGCAATGCAGCGATATCTCTTCGAACATGCCATCATTTGGAGGGAGGTGTCCATGCCTGGGTCGAGCCCTTGTGTGTGCGAGGAACATGGCAGCTGGTTTTCCTCTCAATCCATCGAGTCCACTCAAGAGGCTGAAGGTTCGGATGAGCTCCCCCAGTCTGCCCCATTTTGCCTCTGGCAGATTCGGACCGGTTGTGTGCTGGGAAAGCAGTTGACTGGGGTCCCGATGGAGGGCATTCTCCCCATGCCTCTTCGATTGTTTCCTGAAGCGCAACTCAAGCAGGTATATATATATATATATGTGTAATATATATATATATATAGCCTGGCTTGCCGACAGGCTCCTGGGCGATCTCCTTGGCGTTGCTCGCAGAGATGGCGGCGCAGCAATTGGCGCGGCGTCCCAGGGTGCATACGTGTATATATATATATATCCCTGTATTATATATATATACATATATATATATATATGTTGCAGTGTGTGTGTGTGTGACTCTTCCTAGATCACGCAAGCAAGGCTTCACCGCCGATTTGACGTTGCGTGGTCATGTCTGGAAAGATTCTGGGGTCAGGGGGTGGCAGCAGGGCCGAGAGTCTGCCACCAACGAAGACACTCTCGTGACCCTGGTGAAGCAGTTGGAGGCGTCCAACCGTGTACCTGTAATAAGGTGACAAGCCGTTGCTTCTCCACTTGTGTTCTTGCGCGATGTTGATTTGTTGCTTTCTGAATTGCAAGGTATTTTCACACATTCCAAAGTGTGTGTCGCTCGGCCATCCGACACGGCGCCGGGTTAGACGGGTCACCATACCCGGCTCCTCGCTGAGGAGAGTATTCTTGTTCAGGGCACCTGTTGGCGCTGGACTCCTGAGGCCTTCCCTCCCAATAACCAGGCTCTTGCGTTTCCTCAATCACCGTTCAGCTTTCTGTTCATTCAGATTCAGATTCAGCATGCAGACCCGTGTCGAGTCCCCGCGACGGCAGGCTGCAGCATGAGGCTTCAGGTTTGGTTGGTGTTCCCGCGTTGCGTCAGGGGACAAACCACAACCCAAGTCGAAGTCTGCCCCCAAGACCGCAGCGCCAGCAATTGTGAAAAGGGCCATTGCTATGCCTGCGATAGTCTTGAAGCAATCGGTCCCCGCGGGAAAGGTCAGCTTCAAGAAAGACGTTGATCATGTGCCTTCTCTCCAGTCGGGCCCAAACCAGTCAAGTGATTCGAGAGTTGCGGACTCCAGCACCATGCAGTCCCGCCATCATCAGCGAGTGGATTCGGTCATCACCTCGTACACCTTTCCTGGCTCCACCACGTCCGCTGACTTTGGGTTGCGTCACCGAACAGGACCTCCGACGCCCTACTTGCCGGCAGCACGACCCAGCTACAAAGCCATCGGTCGGATCTTGAACAAGCCAGCCGAGACGGTGAAGTCCAAATGGTTCGAGATCAAAGATCAGAACCCGTAAGCCTGGCAACATGAATCCAAACTTTCACGAGCCGTGGAAAAGAGCCGGTGTTTTCCGTCTGCCGCAATGCGGCGCCGGTGTGTGTGACTCTTCCTAGATCACGGAAGCAAGGCTTCACCGCCGATTTGACGTTGCGTGGTCATGTCTGGAAAGATTCTGGGGTCAGGGGGTGGCAGCAGGGCCGAGAGTCTGCCACCAACGAAGACACTCTCGTGACCCTGGTGAAGCAGTTGGAGACGTCCAGCTGTGTACCTGCAATGAGGTGACAAGCCGTTGCTTCTCCACTTGTGTTCTTGCGCGATGTGGATTTTGTGCTTTCTGAATTCCAAGGGTTAGCCAACATGATCTCTGCGATTTTCATACATTCCAAAGTGTGTGTCGCTCGGCCATCCGACACGGCGCCGGGTTAGACGGGTCACCATACCCGGCTCCTCGCTGAGGAGAGTATTCTCGTTCAGGGCACCTGTTACCGCTGAATGCAGCACGAGGCTCAGATTTGGTTGGTGTTCCCGCGTTGCCTTTTCTCCAGTCGGGCCCAAACCAGTCAAGTGATTTGAGAGTTGCGGACTCCAGTGCCACGCGCACCGTCTCGGCTGGCTTGTTCAAGATCCGACCGATGGCTTTGTAGCTGGCCGGCAAGTAGGGCGTCGGAGCTGTTCGGC